CATATCTTAGAATCAGATTGGACACTGCCACCCTCATTTCCCATTCAACATTAGTTTTTTGTACTGTATTTGCTTTTTATCACAATAACTGTCCAAAATCCAGCTTTGCAAAGATGGGACCTCATTGAAAAAAGAATGTGTAGTACAATGTAATGTTAAAATCGTGAACTACCATCAAGCTAGTATTACACATAAAGTCTAGAATTTTCTTTTTTTTTCTTTTTTTTTTTTGCGGTATGCGGGCCTCTCACTGTCGTGGCCTCGCCTGTTGCAGAGCACAGGCTCCGGACGCGCAGGCCCAGCGACCATGGCTCACGGGCCCAGCCGCTCCGCGGCATGTGGGATCTTCCCGGACCGGGGCACGAACCCGTGTCCCCTGCATCGGCAGGCGGACTCTCAACCACTGCGCCACCAGGCAAGCCCTTGAATTTTTTTAACTTTTTTTTTTATATTGGAGTATAGCCGATTAACAATGTTGTGGTAGTTTCAGGTGCACAGCAAAGTGACTCAGTCATACATATACAGGTATCCATTCTCCCCAGACTCCCCTCCCATCCAGGCTGCCACATAGCATTGAGCAGAGTTCCCTGTGCTATACAGTAGGTCCTTGTTGGTTATTCTTTTTAAATATAGCCGTGTGTACATGTCAATCCCAAACTCCCTAACTGTGCCTTCCCTCCACCCTTCCCCTCCGGTAAGCATAAGTTCATTCTCTAAGTCTGTGAGTCCGTTTCTGTTTTGTAAATACGATCATTTGTATCATTTCTTTTAAGATTCTGCATATAAGCAATATCACACGATATTTCTCTTTCTCTGTTTGAAGAAGTCTTGAAATTTTTAAATATTCTGTAGCACCTCTGTGAGCCATGCCAGGGGTCTCAGTGCAGTTTGGTAACCATGGGCTTAAGATCTTTTCCTATCAATACATATATGGACTTACTTTTTATTGCTGCATAGTGTTCACAGTATGGGTATGCCATAATATAACCATTCCTCCATTAGACATTTAGGTAATTTCCAATTTCATGTTACTTCCAATAATGCTCTAGTGTATATTCTTAAATGTTCATATGTCTCTTTGCACATGTATATTTATGTAGGATAGAGTCCTAAAAGGTGAAATTACTGGGTCAGAGTACATGTATTTAACATCTTCTCAACACCTGATAGCAATCTTTTTTGCTTTTTATACTGTGGACAAAAATCTCATTTTAATTTCCATTTTCTTCTTACTACCATCTTTACTAGTCTAGGTCTAGCTAAGTCTAGCATCTTTGTGATGCTTAGCTGTATATATTTCTCCTGTGACATGCCTGTTTAGAACCTTTGCCCATTTTTCAGTTGTATTGCCTTTTGTAATCATTAACATGTAGGACTCCTTTGTCTGTTATACATACATGATATGTATTGCAGATATATGTATATGTATATTTTTATTATTTTTTTTTGCGGTACGCGGGCCTCTCACCGCCGCGGCCCCTCCCGTTGCAGAGCACAGGCTCTGGACGTGCAGGCTCAGCGGCCATGGCTTATGGGCCCAGCCGCTCCGCGGCATGTGGGATCCTCCCAGACCGGGGCACGAACCCACGTCCCCTGCATCGGCAGGCAGACTCTCAACCACTGCGCCACCAGGGAGACTTTATGTATATTTTTAAATCCCAGACTATGATTTGTCTTTTGCTTTTATTTATGGTATTCCGTGTCATGCAGAAATTTTAAATTTGGGGTCAGGGCAATTCATGTTTTCCCTTTATGGCTTCTAGGATTTAATTTTTTCTCAAATAGACCTTTCCCATCTTAAAATTACATTGTTTTCTTAAAACTTAGTTTTTACCATCACTTTTGTGTATTGTTTGAGCTAGTTGATTTTGCTTCCCAGAGAGGCCATTGTTCTATTGCCCATTGACTTGGAATATTACCTTATATTATGAACTAAATTCCCGTGTTTCTGGACTCTCTTCTTCCAGTGATCTAGTCTATTCCTGTGCCAGTAGCATAGTTTTTTTTTTTTTTTTTTTAGTAGCATGGTATGGTTTTAATTTAATAAAGTGTTTTAATAAATTCTCTGCTAGCTGGTTAGGGCAACTGTCTCTTCTCTGCATTGTTCTTTTTAAAAAAAATGGGACAGCTATTCTTGCAGTTTCTCCCTTGTGAACTTCAGAATCAGCTTGTTCAGGTCTATAAACAACTTCTGTTTACATTCCAATTAGGGTAATACTGAGCTTGCAATACAGGGTTTTGGATCCAATCCAAAGATCTCCCTGGTCAGGTATTTTAGTAACAGAAGGAGAAATGCTGTCTAAAGATCTAAGGTTGCGTTCCACTGGAGTACTGGTTAGAAAGATGCCTGGGCCTAGTCTTTTTGCCCAACTTGTGCAAATCTAGGACTCTGTTTGCCTTGGAGATCTGTAACTTACCCTGTCATCTCCTACAGTACCAGGTAAAGAACTTCCTCTTATTCCTTTCTGTTCCCTCAGTCAGTTTGGTTAAAGTGAACTTTGGACTTAGGATTTATATAACCATCATAAACTAAATGAAGCAAAATTACCTAACATCAGGTATATATTTAATTATAACCTCGAAGTAACCCTATCTTACTTTAATTTTAATTTTTTATTTCAGAGGAATTCTTCAGTTGGATAAAGTGAATGTTATGCCTGTGACAGCTGTCAACTTATATCCAGATGGTACTGAGAAAACAGCAGAAAACCCTGAAGATAAAACATGTGTTTAACACACCATCTCAAATCATGGACTCAGAATTAGTCTATTGGTTCAAATTTGCCACTCGAATATAATTTTCTTTAAATCGTTAGGAATCAGTTTGTACAGTAAAGAAATTGCTAAACTCCTAAAACTGCCTAAAACTTGACCTTTAAAGTGATAGTTGAAGTTCACCTTATTAATGGGGCTGGCTGTTCAGATGGTGAGTTATTAAAGAAAATTTAAATGAAATGGAAGAGAAGATGTGAAGAAACTTTGAAACTACCAAAAAAAAAAAAAAAAGGCAAGACAAAATGCCATGTGCCAATACTTTTCAAGGTGCCTTTGTTAATGAAATTATATACACTTAATTGCTATAATATATAAGACTTTATGAAAAGCACTTTATGAAATTCTAATTTAAAAGCTCAAGAACTTAACACTTATTTTTTTATTGAGTACAATGTGCCTTAATATTAAGTATGTGACTCAGTATAAAATCACTGAAGTATATCATGATTTAATTGTATCCTGTACCAAGACTACTTACCTTGAATGAACCAGGATTTTAAAACAGTGACATGTTCTCACTCTAAAAATAAATTTTTTTGAAGAAAAAAGTACAATCTTTTTGGAATAAAAATTTTGCTCACGTGCGAGTTACTTATATATAATAGCTGCTTTCACATAACACTGGCTGAAACCAAGGCTCACATCAGTTAATGAGTCCATCAATATCAGGGAATTACAACGTGCCTTTGCTCTTGTGGTTCTAAATATAATCTTATTTACCCTACAATAGTGTTTAACCATCACCCAAATTGACGTATATTTTACAATGTGATCTAGGACATATAATACTTATTAAAATTCTTCTTTTGATTGCAACCCATCATTTAAAACACATTACTCAAAAAAGAAATGACTCGTTTTTAAGACCAACCACCTTAGATTTTGGCTAAATGGAAGTATGTGTGGAGGAAAGATGAAGGCAGTAAAGGAGTGATGTTTCATTCTGCCTGTTTTTTTTTTTTTTAATATTTATTTTTGGCTGGGTTGGGTCTTCGTTGCCGCACGCAGGCTTTCTCTAGTTGCGGTCAGCGGGGCCTACTCTTCGTTGCGGGCTTCTCATTGTGGTGGCTTCTCTTGTTGCAGAGCATAGGCTCCAGGCGTGCGGGCAGTAATTATGGCACAGGGCTGCTGCTCCACGGCACGTGGGATCTTCCCAGACCAGGGGTCGAACCCGTGTCCCCTGCATTGGCAGGCGGATTCTTAACCACTGTGCCACCAGGCAAGTCCTGCCTAGGTGCTTTTAATAAGGAATAACAGCCCTGTAATGTGCTATCTACATATTATAGGCGAATAAATCATAGTATGAGGTTTACAATTTGATCCTCAAGTCACCCAGCTGGTAACACTTTATTTTTTTATGTCCTCCTCACTCTCTCAGTTGCTAGAAATCACCAGTTCTAACTTTAAGTGATGACAGGGTCTTATTTCATCCATTAAGCATAAGCTTGAAGATTGTAGTGAGGAGAACAATGTAGGAGGCTTTTGTTGGAGAGTGTAGACTTTGCAGTCAGCAATTCCCATCCTGACTTCTCTCCTTACCTGTGAGGCTTGGGACCACGGCAAGACACTCAGTCCTCTTGAGGCTCTGTTTTCTATGGTTGGGATGCCACAGTGTTTTTTACAAGTAATTATAAACAAAAATCTTACCTAAAATTTTATACCATTAACCTTTATTTCACTTATTAACTTTTACTTCCACCATTAACTATTACGTATTTTATTTATGCTTTGTGTCCATGAGTGATGGGTTAATGCGTTTCACTGGAATACAGTGAGCAGCACGGGCTGAAAGTATCTACTCGCCTACAGTGCAGCCTCTTACACAGGCAGAATAAAGTCAGGCAGGCAAGGTTTTATATAGATGTATATATTTTTTCCTTTTAAATGCACAGTAAAATGAAGGGCCTTTAAAGCTCTCTCAGGACGAGGAGGGAAGTTACCATAACACCACGCAGGAAGGAAAGCACACTGGGTGTGGTCCATGCATCAAATGGCTACTTGTATAAAAATGTTCAGGAATTTTCAGCTATCCACGGGCACCTGTGGAGCTAGAGCCAGTCTTATTCTTTAGAAGGAACAGCAGCCGCAGGCAGTGGAAGAGAAGATAGTATACTTAGATGTACATATAAGACAGTTTTCCAAGCTAAGTAATGGCATCTGTGCCGCAACATTTGTTGTCAGTGAAAGAGAAATACAGTAATGCTAAAGTAAAACATATTTGCTTGTAACTTTTAAAAATTTCCTTTATTCAGAATCATACTTTTTTTTCACTCTTACCATTATGAAAATTTAAAAAAATATAGCGCTTGGTGCAATGACATACTACTTTTAATTATTATTCAAACACTTAATGCAGGTTTCTCACAGTTTACATGTGAGAATTTAGCATGATCCAAACTCAAATATCCACTTCTCATATCTTTCAATGTCTGCAGCAGATACTGACTTAGAAACCTTTTTTAAAGCCATTTCAAAATCCTCCATAGTTGTAGGCATGTGCATTTCTTCTCTTGAAAGATTTCTGATTTCTTCTGGGGTCAAACCTTCAATACGCCTTCTCATTGCCATCAAGGATGCATCCCTAGGTTTTAAAAACGTGTAAACAAAAAAAATGTTTCAGTGCATATGTTATTCTGTAATTATCTTATTACATATACATATGTAGTACTGCATAGAATCCAGTACTGGACTATAAGGCCTGTTTTTGACTTGTTTTTTTAGCAGTTGAATCTGAGCAAAAAGCCCAAGAAGAATTAAAAGGATATAATAAGATAGCAATTCAATTTTATTAAAAGTGTACCATAATATAAAGAATAAGCATCACAGAGACAGGAGAGAGGCTGTTAGCTAACACTAACGTAATACCAAAACTTGTGTCTCTGACTAGATTATAACGTGGGTCTTTATTCTTCATCTGTCTTAATTCAGCATAAAAACTTCATAATAGAAGCTTATACCCACAAAAACCTATGCTTCAAAAAAAAAGAAAAAAAACACCTATGCTTCCAAAATAATTCATACCTGCACACGTTGGTAATGTCCGCACCTGAATAACCTTCCATGTTTTCTGCTATACTTGCAAGGTCAACATCATCAGCCAATTCCAGCTCACGTAGACTTATTCGTAATAGCTCCTCCCTGCCTTTTGCTATTGGTAGAAACAAATTTAAAAATGTAAGCCTTCAACATAAACAATGTTTTATTTTTCTCCAGTCTACTTTGAGAAGTTGTTTTCCAATTCTTCGAGCTCATTTGCTTAAAAAATTTAAGACCTATTCCTTACTGAATTTACTGCATTTATTTTAAAATTTTAATTAATTTTTATTTTTTAAAATTGAAGTATTTCATTGAATTTTAAATTTCCTAGTATCAAGGCTTTAGGCTCCAAATATAGCCAAACCAGTTAAAATAAGGAAAGACATCCTACGTTTGTCTTGGAAAGTTAATTAATACCAAATTTTAAAATTTCTAAGCAAAACTACCTAAGAGTTAACATGACCTTTCTGATTCAAATAAAGATACCTGATGGCAATGGAATATAGATTCTTTTTTCAAGACGTCGTCTTAAAGCCTCATCAATATCCCAGGGAAAATTAGTAGCTGCCAGAACCATAACCATTTTGGAAGGGTCGTCATTTTCAGAAGCACCTCCAACACCTTTAGGAAGGATAAGAACACAGTAAAAAAATAAAAAGCAAAGCTCAACTACTTAAAGATCATCAGATATTTAGCACAACATTAAAAGCAGGGTAATCGTCAAGCCTCCCTAAGACTTACAAAGCTAACTGGTATGTATGTGAATTTGTGGTGCAAGAAAAATGAGTTTTTGCAGTGTGCAAAAAATAGGACTCAAAATAGATTTGATCAAAAGACTAGTTCAGCACAACTACATAGCAATTTAGAAATTCTTCAAAACCATACATATCCCTCTCTAAGGCCAATTAATCGGCATTTGTTTCAGTTTCATGGCTAAAAATGAGATCAGTGTGTATGACAGAGGGTGTCCTGTGAATAAACAGCCATAATTGCTGGTGTGTCGCCACTGTCAGTGCACCCAGTTTACCGCTGGCGATCTCCAGGACCGACTGGCCAGCCCCGCGTCCCTGGGGCTGCACTATGAGTGGGGCTTGCTCAGCACTATGAGTGGGGCTTGCTCAGCTCACGCAGAGACACAGGCATACCGTCCATCTGAATCAGCAGCTCGGCTTTCACCCTTCTGCTTGCCTCGTGCTCTTCGGAAGTCCCTCTGCGGCTACAAATGGAATCTATCTCATCAATAAATATGGTGGCTGGAGAGTAAAATCGAGCCTGAAGGGAGAAAGCGTGCAACACCAGGTTTTTATTTCATTGAAAAGTCATCTATAGTTCAGCAATTAGAAAAGAGCTGTGGAGCCTGCCACCCTGTGCATCTCTCCCTCTTTGCCTAATACTGGGGAGAGAGGATAGAACTGGAACAGCTAAAATACAGCTTCTAATATAGACCTATCATATACTTAAATCTTACATGGCCATTTTTTATACTATTCAATACTATAACTGATTATCTTCAACATGTATTTGTTTATGAGTCATATAAATACAGGATTATCCTGTACACTACAATAATATGGACAACAATGGTGGGAAGACATTTACAGATACTGACGTGTTCTAAAGTTCTAGAAAAATTTTTGTTAAAGAGAACCATTACCTTAAATAAAATCACATAGATTCCCTCTAAGGGATTCTAATTTAATTGCCATTTTTCATTTGACTAATACAAGTACACCTGACCCTTGAACGACTCGGGTTTGAACTGCATGGGTCCACTCATATGTGGATAGTTTTCCATAGTAAATACTACGGTACTACACAGTCTGCGGTTGGTTGAACCAAAGGATGTGGAAGAACCGTGGATACAGAGGGCTCACTATAAGTTATATGCAGATTAACCTTCACGTTGTTCAAGGGTCAACTGATTTTTATCCTCTTAAGTTGTCAATTAGAGGTCAATTTAAATGGCCTTAGTTTTTTTTTTGAGATAAAATTCATATACCATAAAATTCACCATTTAAACCATTTTAAAGTGACAATTCAGTATTTAGTATATTAACAATGTTGTGCAACCATCATCACTATCAAATTCCAGAACATTTTCACTGCCTCCAAAAATAACCCATACTTCCCTGCCCCTAGCCCCTGGTAATCACAAATCTATTTTCTGTCTTTCTGCATTTACCTATTCTGGACATTTCAAATAAATGGGATCATACAATATGTGGCCTTTTGTGTCTGCCTTCTTTCATTTAGCATGTTTTCAATGTTTATCTATATTGTAGCATGTACAGTACTTCACTCTTTTTTTTGTCTGCATTGGGTCTTCGTTGCTGTGTGCAGGCTTTCTCTAGTTGCGGACAGCGGGGTCTATTCTTCGTTGCGGTGTGCGGGCTTCTCATTGCAGTCGCTTCTCTTGTTGCAGAGCATGGGCTCTAGGCACGCAGGTTTCAGTAGTTGTGGCATGCAGGCTCAGTAGTTGTGGCGCACGGGCTTAGTTGCTCCATGGCATGTGGGATCTTCCCGGACCAGGGATCAAACCCGTGTCCCCTGCATTGGCAGGCGGATTCTTAACCACTGAGCCACCAGGAAGTCTCAGCACTTCATTCTTTTTTATGGCTGAATAATATCCCCCAAGTTTATTTTTGTACCTTAAATGCATTTCTTCCCCAAACCAAAGAACAGGGAAGACTGATCCCTTAACTAATAGATCTAGTCAAGTATTATCTAGTAAACAGCTGTGTAAGACTCAATAGTATCACCCGTTTCTTAAGGAGACTGAAGAGGCATTTAATTTTATTTACTTATTGTTTTTAGTAGACTTTTTTAAAATTGGAGTATAGTTGATAAGAAGCATTTTATTATAGTAACTAATGTTTATCGTTAATCATTTTTTAAACAAAATATCCAAACTTACAGAATCACTGCACAAGAAAGCTTGAACGTAAAATGCAAGTCCACAATGGCAAGTGAACATTACAGATTTGAACACGCAATTGTACTGGGTTCATCAATTCTTTGGACCATGAGGTTATAATTCAGTATCCTCTAAGAGGTGATTGTGTTGAAAGCACAGTGCTTCCAAAGTATAGATTTAGTTTTAGTCTGTTCACTTGGGAAATCCTAATAGTTAAATCTCACTTTCTTTTCTAGTTAAAAACTTGAATTCTAAGTCATCTACTGCCTCCAAAGGGATAGTAAGATAATAATAATAATTTTAAATTTTATTTATTTATTTTTGGCTGCGTTGGGTCTTTGTTGCAGTGTGCGGGCTTATTGTGGTGGCTTCTCTTGTTGCAGAGCACGGGATCTAGGCACACAGCCTTCATTAGTTGTGGCATGCAGGCTCAGTAGTTGTGGCTCGCAGGCTCTAGAGTGCAGGCTCAGTAGTTGTGGCGCAAGGGCTTAGTTGCTCCGTGGCATGTGGGATCCTTCCGGACCAGGGATCGAACCCGTGTCCCCTGCACTGGCAGGCAGATTCTTAACCAAGAGCCCTAATAATACATTTTTAATAAGGTATCCTTACTTGGATCTTAGGTACTGTGTACAAACATTTTTGTACTTTCTTTTCAAGAAACAGAGGGAGAAAAATAAACTGGATGGAGGGAAAGAAAGAAAAAAGCAAACATGCAAGAAAATTTATAATTGAAATTCTAGCTAGCAACCATCTACCAACAGAACCAACAACAAAAATTAAATTTCAAGCAAAAATTACTAGATTGAGTCTTCCCAAATACTGAGGGTGTGCAGAAAGGTCTGACTTAAAGCAGAGGCTATGTGGCACATTTAAAATTGGCTTTGGATGACCTGAGAAAGTAATGTAGAGAGACTTGGAGAGGAAACCAATTGTTTCTGCCTGCACAGCATGGCTCCTTATGATAAGAGAAGCTCTCTTTCTCATTTGTAAATCATCTCTCTCTCATTCTTATTCCATTACTTCAAGAGAGGCCAACTCTGCTGGAGTCCCAGGAGGGTCCAGGCATACGCATGTGACTGAAAAGAGACCAAACATTAATCTCTGGAATTTTGCTGCAACAACTGAGATTGTTGTTCACTTGATTAGGTTTCTGACACTTGAAAATGAAAGTTCCTGACAATACAACAAAAACTATACAATTAAGTTTTTATATGTGTTTGTTACCATGTCATGTGAAAAACCCTGGACAGACTTTTATAATATTTAAGTGGCCTTATTCAAAATACAGGCCCTGAGGAATGCTCACTTTGAGAGGTCCAGGGGGAGGGGCACTCAAGAGAGAGGCAGTCATCTGTAGAGCAGTCAAAACCAAAATATGAGAGGCAGTACAGTTTTACTCGAGAGAGTCCATATGAACAGAAGCAAATCAAGGTGGTTTCAAATGAGCCCTAACCGAAATGCAGAAAGGCAGAAGCTCCCATCTGCAGGCACTGGTTTGTGACTGAGCCCCTGCTCAAGTGGGCAACTCAAAGTAGCTCGCTCCAGATAAGCAAGGACTTGTTTAAAGATGGTTAAGATTCTCCTGGGCAATACCAGGGAAGCAGTAAAAAATAAGTTGTTTGATATGTCTTTATAAACCGCAGTATACAAAAATATTGCAAATTACTACTTTGTAAGAGGCTTTCCCTCATAGAAGAAAATAGTCCTTTTTCCTTAATATAAAACCCTACATTAAAAAAAAATCAGATAACTCTTAAACAGTAACAGTTAATATTTATGAGTCCTTATGAGTCAGGCTCCGTATTAAGCAGTTTACATGTATTGGCTGATTTCACCCTCCAAACATTACAGAGGTAGGTCCTAAATTACTGTCCTCCTCTTATAGATAAAGCAACTGAGGGACAGGAGAGGAATTTTCCCACAGTTAGCCATCTAGGAAAGTGACAGAAGTGGGGTCTTAACCCAGGCCACCGGACTCTAAAGACGCCACACTTAGCCATTCACCCTATTTACTTTTTTTTTTTTCTTTTTTGGCATGCGGGATATCTTAGTTCCCCAACCAGAGTTTGAACCTGTGCCCCCTGCAGTGGGAGCGTGGAGTCTTAACCACTGGACCATCAGGGAAGTCCCCATTCACCCTATTTAGCTTACTTTTTTTTTAAATAAAATTTTTAAAATATTTATTTTGGCCGCTCCGGGTCTCAGTTGCGGCATGCAGACTTCTTAGTTGTGGCACGCATGGGGGATCTAGTTCCCCGACGAGGGATCGAACCCGGGCCCCCGGCACTGGGAGCGTGGAGTCTTACCCACTGGACCACCAGGGAAGTCCCCTAGCTTACATTTTTAAAAGGCCTAGTTATTCTGGAATACTGACAATATAATTTTTCCCCTGAAGCAAATAGCAAGCTAATTTTTTAAAAGGATCTAAGAGGTTCTCCATTAGATTCCTATTGTGGGATGGACTATTAATAATCCATAAGAACTTGTCAGAATTTACATCCTGCCTTATGAATTATCGAAGTTGAAGGAGAAAGAAAATGGGAACCGAAACAGGAAGAAGCCTTTACAGAAAACAGATAACATGAAATTGTGAGGGTTTTGTTTGTTTATTCTCAGCCTAGGAAGGAAGATCTGGTATAATATTAGCATGGTCATCTAAGGTTTTGTCCACCACGACCAGGAATGTAAATCTTTTTCACTATCTATATAATAAACATAACTCTGTCCTCATGCATATAACTACACAATTTCTTAAATGAGGTAAGACGGAAACAGTAAGTGAAACAAAGTCTGAAGTCTAAAAAGCTGTTGAATTCAACCTAAACACTCAAGCAGAACTTGTTGAATTACATTTCTTCTACTGATACTCAGATGAGTGGCAGTGGAAGAAGGAAAAAGAAACTCAAAGAAGCGAAGAACTTAATCTAAAGACTGGGTCATTAAACTCAGGGTATTTGATATAGTTAATAGATTGGAGGTAATCTCAGTTCCATATCTACTTATGATTTTCACCTTTTCTCATTTTTGTTCTAATACTGCATTTACGATAACTAAGCCTGATTTAAAAACCGTAATAATTTCACATTCCTATAGCAGATCAGTAATGCAGATCCCGTAACATGAGCATGTCCATAAGCTAACAGAGACAGCCTTTCATCCAGAGAAAAGGAGTCAAAGAGAAATGCAAGTTATTCATGTTAGTATTGAATAAAAATTTTCTTCAAGAGCACAGGAATCACACTCTGGGCACAAAAGCATCCTGCCTAGCGATTCTACATGCTGTAGTTACAACTCACTTTCTCCCCTTCTAGAGGTAAAGAATCATTAGAGTTAGCTCAAGCACTCACCATTTCGAACAGAAGACGAACAAGCTTCTCAGACTCTCCTCTGTATTTGGAAGTCAGAGTTGATGAAGAGACATTGAAGAATGTTGTCTTGCATTCAGTAGCTACTGCTTTAGCAAGGAGGGTCTTTCCTGTGCCAGGTGGGCCAACCATCAACACTCCCTGTTGGGAATATAATAGCATCAGCAAAGGATTTATGTGCCATTGTTCTAATTCACAAGAATTCCGTTACTAAGGATCAATTTTCAACCAACTGACACATAATATTAAGACAAGTAAAAGACAAAGATAAACAGAAGGATACTTTATCACAAATTTACTTTTTCCATTACAAAAGTAGGGGAACTACACATTATTAAAAAATTGGAACTAAGAGATGAGAAATAATATAATCAATATTATAGTACTGATATAATATCATACCCTAACACAGGTACCATTAGTATCTGGATATATTTCCTGCTAGTCTTTTTGCTCAAATTAGTTTTTTTTTTTTTACATAGCTGTATGTCCATAATTTTGTATCTTGCTTATCACTTAACCTTTCAAGAATTTTAAAACATAAGTACAGAGTTAGCCATTAGCACATTTCCCAAATCCAAGTTTTTTGGACAGTCTCTTTTCATATCAGCACATGACTTTTAAAAAGTACTCATTAGATACAGATATATCTTATTAGTTTCTTAAGAACAATTCCAAGAAATATAGATGTAAGTTCTGCAACACAACACGTAAAATGGAGTATTTTTGCATTAGGTGACCTGTTCATATTTGCGAATGTAAGCTCATTATAAGTCTGCTATGTGTCCAACTTTCCAAATATTCACATTGTACCTATTCCTTTTTTTTTAGTAAATTTATTTATTCATTCATTCATTCATTCATTCATTTATTTATGCTGCATTGGGTCTTCGTTGCTGTGCATGGGCTTTCTCTAGTTGCGGTGAGCAGGGGCTACTCTTCGTTGCAGTGCGCGTGCTTCTCATTTGTGGTGGCTTCTCTTGTTGCAGAGCACGGGCTCTAGGTGCGCAGGCTTCCATAGTGGGCTCAGTAGTTGTGGCACATGGGCTTAGCTGCTCCGCAGCAAGTGGGACCTTCTTGGACCAGGGCTCGAACCCGTGTCCCCTGCATTGGCAGGTGGAGTCTTAACCGCTGTGCCACCAGGGAAGTCCTGTACCTATTTCTTATTCTGGAAACCTTGCAGTAGCTCTTGGTCTAAACAAAGTTCTGAATAACACAACATAGTTTAAAATAACTTTCTTTACCTGCTCTATTTTCTCCTCCCACTTCCCCCAACACAGATAAATACTGGCTTTCTATAGCAATGCACTTGCCATTTGCTTTGACAATGCCGTTACAGTAATACACTTACTTTCCATGGTCTCCTAATGCCTTTGAAGAATTCTGGCATCCACATTGGTAACACCACAGCTTCCTTAAGCAACTTTTTAGCTTCTACTAAATCAGCAATATCATCCCTGAAAGAGAAGATATTTTATCAACAACCTTGTAGTTGTTGATAAACTAACTACAACAACCTAACTCTATGTAGTCATTCTTGAGAATCACTGAAAGCACATGATTTTACGTTGGTGACAGAATGCTAAGCTTCTTCCTAGGCACTAGTGAACTAACACACTGTGACGAGGCCTGCCACACCAACCAGTATATAGAAGAGCACAATCTGAATCTTCGATTCTTTTTTAATTTTTTAAAATATTTATTTATTTGGCCGCATCAGGTCTTAGTTGCGGCACGTGGGATCTTCGTTGCCGTGTGGGGAATCTTCAGTTGTAGTGTGTGGGATCCGGTTCCCTGACCAGGGATCGAACTCGAGCCCCCTGCATTAGGAGCGCAGAGTCTTACCCACTGGACCACCAGGGAAGTCCCTGAATCTTCAATTCTTGGGAGTAATGATTTTCAGCTTGGTGAATGAGAACACAGGTCTATAGGCCTACAATTTAAGTATTATGCCATTTCATTTTAAAGTTCTGCTCTTAAAATGCTCATTCCATAAATTCCATGATTTAGAAATAATGAGCCCATTAAAAAAACCCATAAAGAATAAAAAGGGCATAAAGCAGATACAGCTTGCAAAACTGCTGTTTTGCCCCCAACCCTATCAAGAGATAGACACCAAGATTAAAGAGTATCATAGAAAAAAAATTAAAAATAAAAAAATAAAAAATAAATAAAGAGTATCATAGAGATTGCCGTGAAGTCATCTCCAACCACTAGAACACAACTACTACTACAACAACCGGTACACGTGGCATGATAATATATTATGATATATGACATGATAATATATTTGAAAATACCCCTCAAAACTATACCTAAAAATAATTAAAGTTTTAACAAAAAACGTATAACAGAATGTACCTAACTTTGTGGGAAAGGGAGATTTATAACTCACTGTGATAAATTACAGTTCTTTGATTAGATATAATATTTATTTTTTTAATTGAAGTATAGTTGATTTACACTTTTGTATTAGTTTCAGGTGTACAGCAGGGTGATTCAGTTAGACATACAACTACATCTATTTTTTTTTTCAGTCTTTTCCCTTAGGTTATTCCAAAGGGATTCTTTTCCCTTTAGGTTATTACAAAATATTAAGTATAGTTCCCTATGCTAATATAGTAGGTCCTTGTTGGTTACCTATTTTATATATAGCAGTGTGTGTATGTTAATCCCAAACTCCTAACTTATCCCTTAGATATAACAGGAATAAAGTTGAGAACCACTGCTCTAATAGGATATAAAAGCAACATATATTGTATAAACCTAAAGATAACAAGTAATACACACGCATAGAATCACTGCCATTTTACCACTGGAGAATGTCCCCAAAAGATGTAATTTCTGTGATCTTGTTCCCATTCTGTATGTAGAATTTTTAATTTAATAAGAATTTTATTATTATTTCATTAAATTAAAAAATCTCAGACAAAAACTGGTACAGCCTGAACCAAAGTCAAGTTTTTCATTACGTGTCATGCTCACATTGTATGTCCTCAGGTTCTATCCTCAAGGACTGATCTTCAGTACATGCCCACATTTGTTCCATTTTCTGTTCCAAAAAGCAACACCCAATTATTTTGTTGTGATATAACTTACCATCGAACATTGGGATTCTGAGAAATTATATCTCTTTCCAAAGCTTCTACTAAGTCCTTATCGTATCCAGTACTATCAAATTTATTTGTCTCTGGTTCTGTAACTGCAGCAGGTGATTTGTTCTACACAAACAGAGAGAAAAAACAAGAGCTTTTGATTGACTCAAAAATTATATTTTGTTTCTATGAGTCAGAAACAAAGATTGGACTTAGGTGACATTTTTTAAAAAGCTAATGTAATAGTACCAACTAATAAGGACAGAATCAAAGACTACAAGTCATCCTTCTACATCAACATCAGAGTTTCATACAGAATTTTTATTTTTACATAAAAAGTATGACAACGGTATTAAAGAAAAATAAAAATATTATGCATATGAACTGACAATAGTAAAAATTAATATTGAGATAAACTGTAGTCCCTAGTGAATATTAGATATGTATGGCATTTATCTCAAAACTTTAGAAGAGATAAGGTTATAGACAGATGGTTTATTTAGCTAAGATTATGGGTCAATCTTTAACATGTACTCAGTCCCCATTGATGCTCCCAAAACATCCCTTTTCACTATTCCCACATCCCTCCAAAAGACACCTCAGTCCTTCAGAGAGATTTTCCCTCCCACCCTCTGTGATGACAGTCATTAGGGCCGCAAGATGCACACTAAAGCACTCCAAGGCACAACAGTGAACTCACAGGGTGCTGCAGGATTTTTCAGATTTTTGAGGGAAATACAAAAACACCTGTTTGAACATTGGGTGAACTACCGGCTCGAGGTAGTTCAGTTTCTCCGTGAAGACTGCTGCATTCCTTTCAATAATCCCGTATTTTTTGTGAGGCTGGATTTTTGGCAGTTGCTGTGATAAAACATATACCGGGAAAAATCAATGTGGAAGAGGAATGACAGTGGAATGTCCACTGTGACTCCAAGGTCTGAGAAACTGTACAGTGTCCAAAAGGTGTTGTTGGGACATAAAGAGTTGTTTTAACCAAATTTCAAATGGATGGGTATTCTTTTTGTCCTAGAGGTGCTATGAAAAAACTGCTGAGACAGTCGTGAATTTTATAAGCCAAGAAAATTTATGAAACTTTATATTGGTGTAAATAATCATTTACTTGGTCTTGTACTAGGATTGTTACCCCCATCTCCAAAATCCATAACATTTTTTTGCCCATAACATGATGACTTCTTTGTCACTGGAGCTGTCTAAAGTCAGTACTAATGTCTAGACTTAACCAATATTTATGACGTTCAAAGTCTTACACTAGATGACCAAATAAGTGCCTGTCTCACAATTTACATATTTAGTATCCAATAGGAACATTAAAGATTCAAGGGAGGTGTTGTATAACATTTAAAAGAGGAGGTTATCTTTTCTTCTAAGTATTTATGAAGTTGTTATTCATTCACAGATACTAATCTATTCTGTACGAGCAGCTGCGGGGGATAGAAAGAAGACACTGTTCCTATTAGAAACTTAAACTGCAAGCCCAGGGAAACACAAATATAAGGCACTTTATCAGCAGTTCTCACCTTATTTTCTCCCATAGAACACAGTGCTGAGGGAATGTTTGCAGACAAAGCAAAACAAATTTCAGACAGGCAGAAAGGAGAAACAGTTCTATAATAGGTCGGCCAAGGGGAGCTATGGAATTTCAAATTTTGACATTTCTAAGGGAAAATACTAACAACTACCAGGAGGTAAAAGAAAGCAGTAGAGGTTAAAAAGAATGTAGACTCCTTTTTGGTGCTCAAAATAAATTTGACATAAATTTGACAACTTCGACAAAATGGATCACTATTTGAAAAACACAAACTACTACAACTCAACTATTATGAAAAAGATCATTTAAACAGCCCTTCAACTTCTAGGGAAATTGAATTCATAATTTAAAAACTTCCAAAAAAGATATCCAAGCCCAGATGGTTTCATTGGAAAATTTTATCAAACATTTAAACAAGAACTACCAATTCTACACAATCTCTTCCAGAAGAATGAACATTTTTCAATTCATTTTATGAAGTTACTATTACTGTGATACCAAAATCAAAGAGAATTAAAAAACAAAACAAAAAGATTATAGACCAATATCCCTCATAAATGCAAAAATCCTTAACAAAATATTACCAAATAGAATTCAGTAAGATATAAAGAGAATTATATACCATGACCAAGTGAGGTTTATTCCAAGGATGCAAGGCTAGTTCAAAATTCAAACAATAAATAAATCAATATAATCCACATATTAACAGGCAAAGAAGGAAAACTACATGATCATGCAACAGATGCCAAAAAGCACGTGACAGAACTCAACATCCATTCGTGGTAAAGACGAATTTCTTCAACTTGGTAAGAAGCACACACAAAAATTCTTCAGCGGGCTTCCCTGGTGGCGCAGTGGTTGAGAGTCCGCCTGCCGATGCAGGGCACGCGGGTTCGTGCCCCGGTCCGGGAAGATCCCACTGGGCCCGTGAGCCATGGCCGCTGAGCCTGCGCATCTGGAGCCTGTGCTCCGCAACGGGAGAGGCCACAGCAGTGAGAGGTCCGCGTACCAAAAAAAAAAAAAAAAAAAAAAAATTCTACAGCTAACATTATATTTAATGATGAAACACTGAATGCTTTCCCCACTAAGATCAGGATGTCCACTTTCATCACACTTATTCAACATAGTGCTAGAAGTTGTAGCCAGTGTAACAGAGCAAGAAAAGGACATATACACATACAAATCCAAAAGGAAGAAATAAAACTGTTCTATTTCAGATGGCATGATGTTTACCCAGAGAATTCCAAGGAATCTACAAAAATTCTCCTAGAATTAATAAATGACTTCAGCAAGGTGGCAAGATACTAAATATACGTAAAAAGTCAATTTTATCATTAGGGAAATGCAAATCAAAACCTCAGTGAGATACTAGTTCACACCATTTGGATGGCTATTACAAAACTATTACAAAACTAGAACAAACTAACTAACTAACTAAAAAAACTACACACAGAAAATAACAAGTGTTGACAGGGACTTCCCTGGTGGGTTAAGAGTCTGCCTGCCAATGCAGGAGACACGGATTCAATCCCTGGTCTGGGAAGATCCCACATGCCATGGGGCAACTGAGCCTGCACTCTAGAGCCCACGAGCCACAAATACTGAGCCCACGTGCCACAAATACTGAGCCCACGTGCCACAACTACTGAAGCCTGCGCGCCTAGAGCCCATGCTACGCAACAAGAGAAGCCACTGCAATGAGAAGCCCGCACACCACAACAAAGAGTAACCCCTGCTCACTGCAACTAGAGAAAGCCCACGCACAGCAACGAAGACCCAACGTAGCCATAAATAAATAAATAAATAAATTTATTTTTTAAAAAAAGAAAATAACAAGTGTTGGCAAAGATGTGGAGAAATTGGAACATTGTGCACTGTTAGTAGAAATGTGAAATGATGCAGCCACTGTGGAAACGTTTGGTGATTCCTCAAAAAATTAAAAACAGAATTATACACGAATACTTCTGTATATGAATATATATATATATATCTCCAAAAGACTTGAAAGCAGGGTCTTGAAGAGACATTTATATACCCGTGACATAGAAGCATTACTTACAATAGCCAAAAGGTGGAAGCAACCGAAGTGTCCTTTGATGGATGACTGGATAAACAAAATATGGTATATACATGCAATGGAATATGAGCCTTAAAAAGGAATGACATTCTGACACATGCTATCAAATGGATGAACCCTGAAGACATCATGCTAAGTAGGAAAAGCCAGTCACAAAAGAACAAATACTGTATGATTCCACTCATGTGAGGTACTTAGAGGAATCAAACTCATAGAGACAGAAAGTAGAATAGTGGTTGCCAGGGCCTGTGGGCAGGGGGAAGGAACAGGGAATGCAATATTATGATTTATAACGAGAAATACATACTTAGTTTTAGTCCTATTCCTGGCATATAACTCCTAAAACCCTTATGATTTCCTAACTGATAAGAGCAATGGAAGCATCTTTTGTTATAATATGCAGTTTTTGTTCCCAGCTCCTGAAATAGATCCAGAGCAGTAAAGGTGAAAGAGGTGTTTTTTGATACTCATAACAAGCCCCTTCAACTCAACCTGAGTTTACGTTAATGAGGTGATTTTTGGAAAGCCCCTAGTTAATCACAGGATGGGGACTGTTGTCAGGGGAACCAAACTTGTGATTAGAGGGTTGGAACTTACAGTGCTACCACACAACCTCTGGGGAGAAAGAGAGGTTGGAGGTTCAATGAATCACCAATGGCCAATGATTTAATCCATCATACCCACGTAATGAAGCCTCCACAAAACCCCAAAAGGATAGGGTATGGTGAACATGCGGAGGTGCTAGGAGGGTGGCGTATCTGGAGAAGGCATGGAAGCTCTGCGTCCCTTCCCACGTACCTTGCCCTGGGCTTCTCTTCCATCTAGCTGTTGCTGAATTGCATCCTTTGTAATAAACTGGTAAATCTAGTAAGAAAACTGTTTTCCTGAGTTCTGTGAGCTGCTCTAACAAATTATCAAACCCAAGGGGGTTGTTTTGGTAACCTCTGATTTATACCAGTTGGTCAGAAGCACAGGTGACAAGCTGGACTTGCAACTGGCATGTGATGTGGAGGCACCCTGTGCAACTGAACTCTTAACCTGTGGATCTGATGCCAGTTGAGTTAGACTGTAGGACACACAACTGGTGTCAAAGAATTGCTTGATGTGGAAAAAAAATCCTACACATTTGGAGTACAGAAGTGTTTTGCAAGTAGCAAGCAGAAAGAAAACTAGAGTTTTCCTTATCAGGGAGTTACTGTTTAACGGGCACAGAGTTTCAGTTTTGCAAAATTAAAAACGTTCTGTGGATGTATGGTGGTGATAGTTCCACAGCAATGTGAATGTACTCAACTGCACTTTAAGAAATGCATACTTAGGGCTTCCCTGGTGGCGCAGTGGTTGAGAGTCCACCTGCCGATGCAGGGGACACGGGTTCGTGCCCCGGTCCAGGAAGATCCCACATGCTGTGGAGCGGCTGGGCCCGTGAGCCGTGGCTGCTGAGCCTGTGAGTCCAGAGCCTGTGCCCCGCAAGGGGAGAGGACAAAAAGGGCCCCAAAAACC